GACCGCAGTCTTGTATGAGTCAGGATGAACTAGCCACACAGTCTGTGCACTGCAGCACACCAGGTGTTTAGGACTTGAAAAGGGAGTAACAAGTTCTCTGTCCTCAAGTATGATGAAAAGAGAAAGTACACACCCTGAAAATTATTATAAGCAAAGATAAAACAAGTGTATAAAGGTAACGTAAGTGTCAACTGCATCAGTAAAATGTCTATCAGTTATTTGGAGGTCTGTTTCCCCACAGGACCATTCATTTATAAAATTATTATTACTGACTGATCCATTTTAGTTATATTTTGTATACTGGGTGAGATAAGAATACAGATTCTTCTCTTATATGTGAATATCCAGCTTCTCAACACAATTTGTTGAATAGACTATTCTTTCCCCATTGAATTGTCTTGATACCCATATAAAAAATTAACACACAAATATGGACTTATTCCTGAATGTTCAGTCTCTTCCATTAACTGTATGCCTATCCTCATGCCAGTACTGTATTGGCTTGGTTACTACAGCTTTTTAGTGAATTTTGAAACTGGGAACCATGAATTCTCCAACTCTGTTCTTATTTTTCAATATTATTTTGGTGATTCTGGGTCTCTTTCACTGCCAAATGAATTTGAGGATTAGCTTGTCAATTTCTTTAAAAAAGAAAGAGGCAGCTGAGACTTTGGTAGGGATTATATGGAATATGTAAATCAGTTTGGAGAGAATTGTTGTCATAAAAAAATATGAATTGTTCATGGATCTGACCATGAACGTGAGATGTTTTCCCATTCATTTAGATCTTTAGTTTTTGGCATATAAGTCTTGCACTTTTTAAATTAACGTTATCAAGTATTTTATTCTTTTTGATACTGTTGCAAATGAAATCGCTTATTTATTAGTTCTATCGGGTCTAGTAATAATTAATGTCGTTTTTAAACATTCGTTTAAAATCTTGCTTGGCGTTGACTTGTATTGACATAACCTTCAAACACGTGGTATCTACAGAACGTGTGAAGTGCAATTAACAAGTTTTGCTTGAAAAAGTTTGTGTTTGGTTTGGTTTTTGTTGCAAAACTAGGGCTAAGAAGATGGCGGATGAAGAGCATATTCCGCACTGCATGCTTTACGAGTTCCAATTAGGAAGAAAAGCAAGTGAGGCTGCAAAAAACATCTGTAGTGCTCTTGGTCAAGATGCAGTTAGCGCCAGAAAATGCCAGTGTTGGTTTGAGAAATTTCGCGAGGGAAATTTTTTGTTAGATGACAAGAGTGGTCGAGGCCGTGTGTCCAATTTTGATTAAGAAGCTCTTCAAGCTCTTTTGGTGCAAAATCCTCAAATTACCCAACAAGAGCTTGCGACAACTTTAAATTGTTCACAAAAAACAATCTCCAATCAATTGCGTGCACTTGGCAAAGTCCAAAAGTTTGGAAAATGGGTTCCTCATGAGTTGACCGACAACAACCGTAATCAAAGAGTCACAATTTGCAGTTCGCTCCTCTCTCGTCAAAACCGTTTGCCGTTTTTAGAGCAAATTGTTACCGGAGATGAAGAATGGGTGCTGTATGTTAATTTGAAAAGGCGGCCTCAATGGTTGGACAAAAATGAGGCTCCGCAGCCCATGCCAAAACCTGACTTGCATGCAAAAAAAGTGGTGTTGTGTGTTTGGTGAAATTTTAAAGGAATTCTTCATTATGAACTTTTACCATCTAACCAAACCCTTAAAGTGCAGTGTATAGTGCCCAATTGGAAAGGTTAGCCCAAGGTTTAAGAGAAAAAGAACCCGCGCTGATTAATCGGAAGGGCGTAATTCTTCACCACGATAACACACGACCGCATACTGCAAGAATCACTGCTGAAAAACTGCGCCAGTTGGAATGGGAAGTTCTCCCTCAACCTGCATATTCTCCTGATATTGCCCCTTCCGCTTACCATTTGTTTCGTTCTTTGCAAAACTTTCTTCTTGGAAAAAAATTTAATAATGAAGAATGCCTCAAAAATGCATTGACCGAATTTTTTTCATCAAAAGAATTTTACAACAGAGGGATTAAAATGCTTCCTGAGCGTTGGGCACAAGTAGTAGAAAACAACGGCAACTATATTGTTGATTAAATTTTGTTGTATTGTTTAAATAAATTCGATTTTAAAAAGTATTAGAAAACGACATTAATTATTACTAGACCTAATAATATTTGGAATATATACCTTATAATTTATTGTATGCAAGATCATGTCACCTAAAAATATAGTTTTACTTTTTCTTTTTTGATCTGGATGTCTTTTATTCCTTTTTATTGCCCGATTTTCCTGGCCAGAACTCCAGCACAGCGTTTCCTGTGGGAAGACATGGGCCCAGAAATGCAGTCCTCCGTCACTATAATGGAGGCCATGCCACGAAGGTTCAGTGAACAGAGAGGGACTTCGTGAAACTGACAGTAACATGGTTCCACTTAACACACCTCCCCATGATGACATTTCAAAACACCTTGCAACAGAAACATGCGGATATGTTGTTATCCCAGTTGTCCATGGAAGTTCTAGTGCACATGGCAACGGTATTTTATCTGTAAATAATTGGGGGAGGAAAACTGGGCAACAGTGCTGGTGTCTGGCTGCATGGAGTTGAGCTCACTGTATAACCACTGCCAGATTCAGAACTTGGTCAGAGACAAGTCCAACACTAAGAGCATCAGCAGTAATAATAATTTTATAAATGAATGGTCCTGTGGGGAAACAGACCTCCAAATACCTAATAGACTACATTTTACGGATGCAGTTGGCACATATGTTACTTTTATGCACTTGTTTTATCCTTGCTCATAATAATTTTCAGATGTGTACTTTCTCTTTTCATCATACTTGAGGACAGAGAACTTGTTACTCCCTTTTCAAGTCCTAAACACCTGGTGTGCTGCAGTGCACAGACTGTGTGGCCAGTTCATCATGCAAGACTGCGGTCAGTGACTTTAGTGTTTGACTGGACAGTCTTAGGACCAGCCCTAGTTTTTTTCCTGTTCTCTCATCTTCCCTTTGGAACATCTCCCCTAAAATGGATCCCTTGCACCTCAAACACAATCTATAGCAAACAGATCCCCCACTGCCCCTGCTCAGACTGTTCTTCTTTAAGATTTCCATTTCTCATGATGATGCCACAACACCTCTTGTGAAGAGCTGAGAACTGGGCCTGGGAATGCACTTTCCTCTTTGCCCCCTTTCCTCTGATTCTCACAAGCCCCATTCTCTCCCTAGCAGGACCAGGCTGATTCCGGTAGAGCATCAAGGACCCACAATTAAAGAGGACATGACATGCTCTCTCGGGGACCTGGTGGGGCTAGGATTGTATGTGCTTTTCTCACCCATTGGAGGCAGCTGGAGAGGAGGTCCACAGAAGCCCTGGGAGCCACTGGGTGCTGTTGGCTGGGGATGCTGGGTTCCTGGTACTGGAGATGACCTAGAGCAGGGTGCAGGCTCCAGGTGGACATGTCCTCTCAGCCCCTTGCAGGAGCAGGCCCAGGTAAGACCTCTGTCTTGGATCTTTGAGAATTACATTGGTTTGGCAGAAATGCATATGATGACGAGATGTAACAAGAGATGCTCCACTCTATGAGTAATTAGGGAAATGGGAATTCAAACAATTTAGTTGAGAAGGATTTAAGTGGGACAGGGATATGGTCAGAATGCTTTAGAAATGAAAGAATCTCTGGCTTCTTATATCATCCAACTTCCCAGGGAAATGACTCAGATTTTTTAAAAATACTGAAAAGACAAAACTATGTGTTTTGGGACTTTAAAATAGCAGAGAAAAATCAGGATACCAAAGGCTGGCATTGCCATCCTTAATAAATGAGAAGTTACTTTGAGAGCAGAAAACGTCTTATTTGTCTCTGAGTAGCCACAGAGCACAGCCGAGCACCCGGCTCATTGCTGGAAGGAACAAAACATACATAATAGCTCACACCCCAAGCTGGGCCCCGGAGCTGGTTAATACAAAGCTGTAAAACCCAGCTGATATCATAGGGCCGTAGTTGGGGAAACTGCGGCTCATGAGCACATGCGGCTCTTTGGCCCCTTGAGTGTGGCTCTTCCACAAAATACCATGGCCTGGGCGAGTCTGTTTTGAAGAAGTGGTGTTAGAAGAAGTTTAAATTTAAAAAATTTGGCTCACAAAAGAAATTCCAATCGTTGTACTGTTGATATTTGGCTCTGTTGACTAATGAGTTTGCTGACCACTGTCATAGGGGATACCAGGACCAGTATAAAAAGGGGCATGGGTGACCTGGCGGTTTAGGAGAAAAATGGCAGGCTTAAAGCACTGTACCTTAAAATGCATCCCCACCAGGCGTCCTCAAACTTTTTAAAGGGGGGCCAGATCACGGTCCCTCAGAGAGCTGGAGGGCCGGACTATATGAACTACTAATTCCTACTGTAACACCTCAGCTGGGCTCACTGCCCAAAAAACCTGGTGGACCGGATCAGACTCCTCTGCGGGCCGCATGTGGCCCGCGGGCCGTAGTTTGAAGACCCCTGCCCAAGACCCTCTACCAGCCATACTTCACTAGGGAAAACGCCATGATCAAAAATACTTAGGATATATGGCAGAGTTTATTTCCAGAAACTTGCAATGCATGTTAATACACTGAGATATTCTCAGAGAAGATACGGTCGTATTGGGTCTACACAGCATTTGTCAAACACATTTGACCGTGTTAGATTTACCATTGGTTTAATTCCCACTTGAGGAAGAGCCTTTGGGAAATTCTGATTTAAGAGAATTGGAAATTCCGATCCACATGGTAAGATTGAGCCGGAAGTATTTAACTAAAGGCAAAAACCACAGAGAGAAGAAGGAGCCTTCTGATTTGCAGAGCTGTTTACAGACACTGGGAAGTCGCACTGCTGGGAGACAGAGCACACGGAGATGGGACTCAGACCCAGGAGAGATGTAGCTTCTACCAACGGAAGAACGGGGTAAGATCACAAGTCACCACAGAGTAGAGGAGTGAAAAGACCTTGTTATAATAATGTTATGGTCATAAGGAAACCCCTCTAATGTGTGAAATGATCATTGTGTGAAATGTTTGCTGTGTGGAGACTCCAGTACTCTGTCATTTCCAAATTGGTGAACACCCCACTATCTTGATGTGAACGCCATAAGTCAGTGGCCAGCAAACTCAGTCAGCAGTGCTAAATATCAACAGTACAACGATGGAAATTTGTTTTGAGAGCCAAATTTTTTAAACTTAAACAATATAGGTAGGTATGTTGTCATTAACTTAATTAGGCTATGTGGTATTTTGTGGAAGAGCCACACTCAAGGGGCCAAAGAGCCGCATGTGGCTCGCGAGCTGCAGTTTGCCGACCCCTGGCCTAGACCCTTAAAGTGTTAAATGCCCTGCTGCTAGCATAAGGCACACTGTCTGGCCCACACCGATAAGACACAAGTTGTTTACTGCCGGCTATATAAGCACTGGACCTTCTTCAGTCGATGTCTCCTGCCTGATGAGAGGCGGACTCCGTGTTGCTCCATGAGACAAACCCCTGACTAAGTGCTCTGCTGTGGGAGCCTAAACCAACTGCGATTGCCTGTCTGTCTCCATCTTCATTGTCAGTCTTTTGGTGTGCATCGCCAGGTGGCCTTTGCCAGAGCCTAGGACCCACTACGAATAGGTAAATAAACCTTGTGTGATTGCATACCAATTCTTTCTTCTGTGTTCATGTGTTCCGATTTGGCTCAGTTATCTAGACACTGAAGTACCAGCAGATAGGCCTTTATTGCTAACTCTTAGTCACCTGCATTTGTCCCACCAAAACTAGACAGATAATCAATTAGTTGGGGCATAATTGGGACAAACACCTTTTCAAAGAAACCTCCAAAATGTGGTGATGGTAGCTAGTTAGCCAAAAGCAAATCCTTCTTACTCATGACAGCACAGAGTTGTTGCAGGAAAGCCACTTCTTGGCTCATAAGCCCTCTGTGGCACAGTGATTGGAGATACCACGTTGAAGATGCAGGTAGAAGCACAACAAGAAGTAGCCTGGAACCCTGGGTCACTGCTTGGCAGAGAGTTGCCTGACCGTGTACACAGACATTTTATGAACAAGAAATAAACCTCTACTGTGTTGAGGTACTGAGGCTTGGGGGTTGTCTGTTCATCAGCTAATAACACTTTGACTACATAGTAAATATGGCTAACAGGTTTTGGCAAAGCTGAATGGTGAGCGCAAAGATATTAATTAGGCTCTCTACAGTTTGCTTCATGCTTAGAATATTTCACAATAACAGAAAAATCAGAATGCTCCATATCTTCAGGCACTCTGAGAAATTGACTGTAGGTCATAGTTTGAAAAAAGGAAGCAAATGGGAAAAGAAACATATATACAAGAGTCTTCAACTCTTTTTAATGCCCTGTTTCTTAAAAAGCAATTTACTCTGAAGTGATGCAGTCAAACAAAGAAAAGTGACTTGCTCTAGTACACAGTTAAAAATCATATTCCTTGCCCAATAGTTGAGCATTGGCCCATGAACCAGGAGGTCAATGTTCGATTCCTGATCAGGGTACATGTCTGGATTGCAGGGCTCGATCCCCAGTGGGGTATGTGCAGGTCAATGATTCTCTCTCATCAATGATGTTTCTCTCTCTTCCTCTCCCTTCCTTTCTCTGAAATCAATAAACATACATATTTTTAAAATCATATTCCTTAATGAGCCAGCCTTCGTCCGGGAGAGGACAACACTTCATGAAACACATAGGAAGGTGTGTGGTACCAGGGGACCCTAGACTTGCTCTGCGAGGACTGGCTCCAGGGCCAGCGGCAGTGAAGGCCCGGACACCTCTGCTAGGGAAGTGCTCTGGGGCAGGGAGCATACCTCCATTGTTCTTGGAACCTTTGATTGTACCCTCTGAAGATGAATAAATAGGGAAGGAATTTACTGTTTTTCCTTCCTTTGGCAAACAATGACATTTCAAATCATGAGAGTGGAAAAGTACTGTTTTTGAAACAGTTGACTTTTAGGAAACTTCTGTGTAATCTGCTTGCATGAACATTGGATAGGTTACTTTCCCCTGAAGCCGCAGGTTCAGGAGTCAAGTTCTGCCAGGACGTAATGTGGTGGCTCTTTTACAACTTGTATGAAATCCTTTTTTGAAGAGCTTTGCCCTAGAGTGCCCTGCTTACTCAGAGCTCAGATCTTCCTGGGATGTCCCTAAGCACCCTCCGGGGCCCCGAGAACAGAAATGGCTGTCAAAGACCTAAAGCAAATACCATGTAGCATCATGATTTGACAAAGCAGGAGAGCAGGTGCAACAGCATGTGTTATATTACACTCAATACCTTTCTGTTTGATGGAAATGTCCCACTAACAACACATCTGGAAGGGCATATATTATAGTAGCTGTTATTAGCTGATGTAACAGACAGCACTCATACCGGGATCTGTTCTTGGTATGTTTTCCTTACGTGATTCCACACTTTATATTGACAACACTCCACCACAATGATCCATCCAAGGAAGTAACTTTGATCCATCCAAGAAAACTGCCAAACAACTGGCTTCCACCTGGGGCATCAGAGATTCTTGCATTTAGCCAACACCTAAGAGTCTCTGAGCAATGCCTGGGTGGTGGGTGGCCAGGAGCACCAAGTTGAACAGACAGTGTAGTAGGAAAGACGGGGACCTGGATCTGCCAAGAAAGGGGTACTGCTTGTATGGCAGGAATGAATGGGCACCTTCTTTCAGCCACAAGGGGAGTCAGAGATGTTTTCATGAAGGTAGTGACATTTGAACTAGACCTTAGAGTAACAACATACTCATTCAGGGAAAGGCAAAGTTTCTGAAAATCTGTCAAGTGCTAACTGTGAGATTAATCCACATTTTATGCCCCACTCGTGGTATGCTTTGTGTTTTTAACTGACTATTTTGAGCAAACAGGAAGGAATAAAGAATAATATAACAGAAGTATTTACACGGCTACCCTTCTTTCCCTAATCATAATATTTGCTTTAGGTCTTCATATCGCATAGAAGCTTCCCAGGTAGCCCTCCATTTCATATTCTTCTCTTTCTCTCCGGGCGTAAGCAACTCATTTTTCTAATTTGGAACTTGTATCCTCTGCTTCCTAACTCTCCCTTCATGGCAGATGCTGCTAACAGACTATTAATTCTTTCCCATGAACCGTGGGAGAGGTCCCCATCCAGACCCCGCTGATTGAAGTGGTCATGAATGATAAAGCCTCCTGGCCTTACCTCTAACTCCAGCTCCTGTCAGAAGGCTTAGAACCTAAGAGGGGGCTCTGATCTACCCTTTGGCTTCTCGTCTGTCCAGAAGCTAACCTGGCCCTGAAGTGCACACTCCAGAAACTGTACATCTGGGGAGACAAAGACTATACTAGACCAACTGTCAGAAATCCTGGTTTCAAACCACAGTCCCTAAAAATGGGACCAAAAGCAGGGCACTTAGCTCTGAGTCTATTTCTTTATCTCTACAACAAAGACACTACTTGCCTGAGCTGCAAGCCTACCAGGGCTGTGTCTGTGTGCCTCAGGTAAGCCTCCTTGGCACTTTGAACTTACCTCCATTCGAGCATTTCACAACTGTATAATAATTATAGACATGCAGGTGCCTGACATGCAATAGGTGCTCAGTCAGTACTGACTGAATTCAACTGATCAACCATAAATATGTTAACAATATGACACATTTATACACATATATTTATGATCTGGAAAGCATACAAACACCTAGCAGGTATAATTCTCATTTGACAACACAAATTAGAATAAGTGGCACTGGTAGCCAGTATCACCCTATCTGAGCACTGATACCTGGAGGGCTGTGCCTGGAAATGCTCCTGTGATGGTGGCCAAGCCCTCAGCCCCAGTAGCGAGGCTGCCAAGGCTCAAATCCAGGCACTGCCACTTCCCTGTGATGGCAAATTGCTTAAGCTTCTGCTTCTCAATTTCTCATCTATAAATTAACCCAAATGAAACAATCTGCACCAGGGCAAGGATTTGGCTCTATTTTATTCACGAAACTAACAACATACTTCCAATAGAAAGGGGCCCAGAGCAGGAAGTCAGTCTATAATAGAGCTCCTGATGAAATGGGTCCTCAAACCCATCTCCTAGGGTCACCATGGAGATCATGTGACTAGCGTGCCTGAAGAGCTCAGCATACACAGTGAACACAGAATACACTTACACCTCTTTACAAGGATGGTTTAGATGAATAGTTCATGGCTCTGAGGGAATGAGTCTTGGTCTTGGTTTCACAGCCCTCAGATTCCCCTCACTGAGGGATGCCATGAGCTTAGCCTTTTCACAGCCTAATGGCCCATGTCAGAGGCACTGACAGGTGTCTATAGTCCTCCTGACTTCTTGGGGTGTGGTTCGTAGGGTCTCATAATGACATACCACAGGCAGTGAGTGGGGGTCTGTTCTCACATTCTCTCTCCCTCCTCCCCCAACCTGTGACGGGGCCTGGGCATACAAGCAAACTTGACAATACACACAAAATCCACAGACTGATGGTGAAATGCTAACAGCTGTGAGGAATTACGTGAGTGGGATTTTCTGGCCTGATGTGAGGGGAGTGAATGTCAAACATGTTCTAGATTGGGGAGAAAAACAGGCAAAATGCTACTACTATGTGGGGAATTCCACAAACACATTGGACACATAAGATGGTATTAAGAAAAGGGTAATTAGCTAGTGGTAACCCCAGGCCGTTTAGCTTTGCCACCTTTTAGTATCACTTCCGACCATTGCTTTGTTAAATAACATCTGTATATTTTCCTGATTTCAAAAGCTCATTCAATTTTTTTTGGTAATTATAAAAGTTCCTTGTAAAATTCTAGAAAATACCAGAAGAATGATTATGAAATATAGAAACCTTCACCACCAGCAGAGATATCCACTGTTAGCATTTTGGTAAATTTCCTCCAGTATTTATATTATTTAAAAAAACAAAAAACTTATGACCATATTTCAAATAATTTGGTGTTTTTCCCATCTAGTCTGTGTATAACTGTTATGAAATAGTATAGTCTTCATCTCCCCAGATGTACAGTCTTTGGAGTGTGCACTTCAGGGTCAGGTTATTATTTAACTTTTTTAATGTTTTAGTTTATTGTAAAGTGAAGCATGCATGCAAGAGGACAATATAACATATATGTACATCTGAAAATAAGAATAAAAAATAGAAAGAACACCTGGAATATGGCTCTTGCTACTACATAGTACTTAAACACATTACTGTGACATAATTCAATCTTCGCCCTATTAACTATGTAGAACCTAGGATAGCTGTGCATATCTCTGATTATTTTTTAAATGGCATTTACAATAATATTGTAGGGAATCTGAAAAGTGTCTAAAGCACACTGATACTGTTAATAACGTGGACCAAACAAAAAAACAGAGCGAAAAGACACAAATTACCAATACCAGGAATAAATAAATTCATCATAGACCCTGCAGACACTAAAAGGATTTACTATCTGTTGTTGAATTCTCTGATTATTTCTTTAGAAAGATGAATTTTGGTGAGTGAATCTACTGAGGCAAAGGATATACAGATATTTTTCAATGTAAACTTTTTTATTTTGATATGATAGATTTTCATGCGGTTGTAAAAAAAACCACTAAAAAAACAAAAAACAAAAAAACATACAGAAATCCTGTGTATCCTTTACC